TGTTCCTAACCTGTACTGGATAAGGAATTTTCCACAAGATATATTTAACTTGTTAGTTGCTGGCAAATATCACAATTCAACATAGCAGTTGTAACCTGTCTACACTGAGCTAAAGAGCAGTATTCCTCTTTCATTCCACCAGTACTCTCATCAACACTGTCTTGCTGCCACAAGGAATGTGACAAACAAGTCTATATGATGTTCTACCTTCTTATATTAAGCTATTCCTCTAAAGGCATGACGACATCAGCAAAACTTGCAGCCTTACACTGGTGAGCTGATGACCAACTGTAATCCACATTTAAAGCAAAAAACAAAACAAAACAAAACAAAACACTTCTACATCAGGAAAAGTGACACTATACAAAAAATCTACAGTATAATTAAAATACACCCTTTTGTATCCTGGCATTTCTTCATGATCAGATCATAAGACACTGGTTTATAGGTTTTTTATTTGTGTGTGTAATATGCTGCTTGCTTGGCTACGCAGTGCTTATTGATTAACATTCATGGGGAAAGAGAAAATAAAAAAATATATTCAAGTTGACATAATAAATCTTTGTGAACATTTAAAGCAATTTATAGAAAATTACACTGAAGGGAGTTGGTCAGTTCAAATACTAAATTGTATTTCCTGTCTTATTTTTGACTTGTAAAGCTACTTTAAAAGACCATTTAAAAAAAAAAAAAAAAAGTGTTCTTCACATCAACTTCTCTTCACATCAACTTCTCTTCACATCAACTTATTCTGGTTAATCCCCTAAATGTTAATTAGAAACCTAAAGAAATCATGGTACGAGTCAAAAGGGCCCTGTATTATCTCTGTCATCTCAGCAGGCTTGGAATAATGCAAATTAAAACACAAGGTACCTCATCTAATAAATTAAATAAAATGAGAGGTTTCTGGGTTTTTTTAACAGATTTCATTTAAAAGACAAATTGCTTTCACATATTCACCCTTAATATTTTTAATCATGTCATGAGACCATACAGGCAAGGATTTTTCTCTTTGCCCCTATTATTATTATTTTTGTTTCTCATCTATGACTGGGAAATCCTTGTAACAATAGTTTGCTATATGGTGTTGATTGTTATATTTCTGAATATTCATTAGCTTTTAAAAATTAAGTCATAAAAAAAAAAATCGGTTAGCATCAGTTTCTATACTTCTCCTGTTAGATTCAGTTATAAAATTAGACCTCATGGAGTTGTTCTTCATCTTTGCTTTATCTTTGAATACGTTACTAGCTTTCCAGAACCTTCCTGTTCTGAAATAGTGATCAAAATCACCTTTTCATCAGTTATACTTCCATTTGGGATTCTGATATTAGTAAGAACTATTCCACCATGATGCTGTTCTGGGTGTCCCAGAACCATAACATAAAAGTGAGGAAACACACAGGAATCAAAACAAGGATTTACAGTGAGAAGGAGTTGAATAAAATAATCTCCTTGTAAATCTTACTTAATTCGTTTAAATGTATGTTCTGGAAGAGTAAAATAAAATAACAAGGTGTTTTTTGTTAAGGGATGTTAAGAGTGTGGCCATCTCCAGGTCCTAGAAAGCTTTCTATACCAGCATCATTAACTGGGAAGGCTATACTTTGTGAGTTTAGGGAATAGAAAGATAAAAGGCTGGAAGAACACTTTGGCCTCACGAAGAATATGCTACATTCCGTAACTTTAACCTTTTACTATAAAGCTTGGAAGAGCACAAGATTGTCACAAAACCACTGGAGAAATCCAGAAATTTTAGCTGATAACATTCTATTATGCCTTTTATACTGAAGGGCAGGAAAATAACAGGAGAACTTTCCTACTATAGAGAGGCTTCTACTCCTAAAATACAACACAGCACACGGTTTTTCTTGGTACCTAGAAAATAGACCAATCATTAACAGTAAATGCAAAGCTGATCAGGCCTCAAAGTAAATCCAACACAGGAGAAATACTGGTGTCTTGTCCAGTTTCAGAAGGACTTTTTCTCACAACTCTATCACTGTGTACCTATCTAAGATTTAATCTCTTCTGTTGTGCCAAATGTTGCATCAGTTGCAAGGTGGAATGAATCAACAACAGAAACAGAGACCTTGGGGTGGGGACTGTAGCAGAAGAAATCTGCTCGGTTCATTTATTTTAAAGTAAGTTAGGGTCAGATTGGTCTACTGATTTCTTAATGACATGCAATCAGTGAATTATACTTTCCAGATCAATATAAGCAAGAGGTAAACTACAGTATTAAACACTTGCAAAATGTTCATAAGCTCCTGCCAATTTCTGAGCACTACAGCTACTGCTAAAACCTCTAATCATATGCAAGTACACAGAGAGTGTGTTAAATACTTGCCTGTTAACCATCACACACTGGAATGGTGTGTTCTCCTTGCACATCCTCTGTGGGAGAATTCAATGCCCCAGCTCCATATGTACCCCTGCCACTCCCCACACACTGGTGACAGTCTCCCAGCAGTCACACCTGCACACAGGTTGGGTCCCAGTGTGTGCTGCCCTACATACTGTCACACCAACAGCTGGCTGCTGCCTGCTTACCGTGTCCAGTAGAAAGAGCAAAGCTAGTAGGATGACATTTGTCAGTTTCCAACCACATTTTTGCTGTTGGTGTTTCCACTCCAAGATCACTTTTCTGCTGTTACCAATTTTCGTGTTACTCTTGATCCCCTTCTCAAGCCTTGTTTCAGAAGTTCCTTGTTCTACCCCTTACTTCTTGTGACATTATTTCTATTTTATACAACTGCCTCCCTAAGGCAGTGAAATACAATTTCTTGCTGGTAAATGATAAAGGGGAGAAGTGAGGAAGGTACAAAGTTGTCATCACTACAATCTGTTAGTGGGATCCAGCTATCTTTGCTTTGACCCCGAAAGGGAAGAGCAAGTAAGGGATTTAAACTAAGTCACAGATGTGTGTAAACAGTGACAAATGTGAGCTCTGTACTAAGTGAAAGTCAACTTACCTGCTATGTAGCAAGAATTAACTAGAACAATTTTTAACTCAGGTTCAATAAAATTAGCCTGACACTGACATCTATTGGCAGAATTCTGAAAGAGGAATTTTGGGTCAGTCTGGACTGAAATGGATGAAAAGAGAAATAAACTTTGTTTCAAAAAAAACTGATACCAGCTTGATCCAATTAAGTTTATTTCCAGCAGCTAAGAATCTGATTCTTAATCTAGAAAAACGTAAAGTACAATCCTTCAAACATTTACAAGCTCTCATAGTTCTATGTATTGAAATGTTACAAATGTACATACACCGATGAAGGACTATAGTTAAAACATTTCAAGCTATGTAGTTTTAAAATCATGAAATTAAAAAGGCGCTCCCCTTTTCTTTTCAAAAGAGAATCACCTCTTTTGCCTGGCTGGCTATGCTGTGCTTAATGTGTCCTAAAATGCAGTTTACCCTCCTGGATGCCATTGTAATCAGCATCCAGCTGTGGCTCAGCAGGGTGGCCTGGCCCTAGGGAGGTTGGTAGTAGGATGGGTAGGGCAGCACTGGGGCAAACTGGAAGAGGGTCCCCACTCAGATCAGGCACCAGTGCTAAAATCACCCACTGGGTACGCATAGAACAGGGAAAGCACACCCGCCCTCATCACCATGTCCCCTAGCCACTTGTTCCTCTCTGGCTGTCCCCTGGCACATCCCTCCACCCACAGTTTCTTTTCCCCTTCCCTGGGGGTGCCCACATTGGTGCAGAAGGCAGAACTGAAATCTCAGCTGAGGGGAAGTTTGAGGCAGGACACCCTGATAACCTTCAAACACAATGCAGACCAGCGTGCCTCCTCTGCCTTTAGTGGGGTGCCCGTTACCCCCCCAAAGCACAACCAGGACCACCGTTGCCCGCTCCATGTCTGCATCTGGCAGGGTCACAGGGAAGGCCCATACAGGGCTGCTGCAGGCTGAGCCCATGCACCCAACTCAGACACAGTCAGACACAGGGAGATGAGGGCAACACACCCCTTCCCTTCCCTGGAGCTGCCGCATTGTGAAGTGGGGAGGCTGTGATTGCCTGGCTGGCCCAGAAACTGCACTCATGATCCCACTTCCCCTGTGGCTCATCTCAGCATCACTCAGGGGATGTCCAGCCACACTCACAGAATATTTCCATCTCTCCTGGCAGGGCCACTGGCACTATGATCAGAGGAGAAAGTTTGGCTCCCTGTTCTTCAGGTTCAGACTTCAGCCTGCAGCATCTTCCAAGCACTGTGGAATGTTTCACTCCAGGCTTGCTCTGTGCTCAGGGAACAAATTGCCCATATGTCCTGTTGGTGCTGAGACTGCAGCCTCCCAGCCCTGAGACGAGCCCTTGCCAAAGCTGAAAGTTTCATCCATCTGTCCTAGCCCAGCAAGCTATCAGGTGAGTCTCAATATAATCTTCTGCATCAAGGCCCCTCAACCCTGCAACACCAGCAGATGACTTTGGCTGTCATGGCAATTCAGTCCTGCCCACAGCATTATGGTTCATAGGCATTAGCATAGCTGTGGTGGATGTGGCCACGAGCCAGTGGTATTTTCTTGTGACTCAACTGATTGACTCACACATGGGTGCTAGAAACCTTTGCTGTGAAACTTTCTGAGGAAGCTTCCTTGTGAAACAAAACCTTTTGAAGCTTCATGTTCAAGTGGGTGGCTGGGAGCATAAACTACATTTCTTCCTACATATGTCTAAACTCCACTGTCTGATGAGAGGTTGACTTCCTTTTTCCCCTCGTTCAGGAGGCTTGGGGACACTTTTCCCCTGTATGCACAGTTGCTTTTTTCCATGAAATACTTAAGATTTAAGATACTGAAGAATACTTACTTTTTCCAGAAATACTTAAGAACTTCTTGGTATATGCACAAATAATTTCTAATTGTTATTATTATTTCTCTGGTATTTCCTGCAATTAGCACTGATCATTCAGTGGTGCCACACTCCTGTTTCCATTTGCAGCTGGCCAAAACTTCCATGAGCCCACCAAAACCCAGAGGAAAGAAGTGTTCTTGATGAAAATATCAATGTTTAATTTCATTTTATACACATCTGCTACTCCCACAAATTACATCAGTTTCAGTGTTACTCAATGCTTTCAAACATGGTTTGTGGCCAAGTGGTGTTAGTCTGCATGCCATAATTCAGGTTCAGCATAAATATTTCTGGAATATTGTTAATAAAGGCAGTTTTGGGGAGAAAAAAAAAAAAAAAAAAAGGTAATAGAAAGTGACAACAGAAGGACACAACTTACTGCCTAAACATATTGTTATACCAGAACTAGTAGTAATTGCCACTGGGGATTGGTGTACCTTAAAAAGCTTCAGCAGGTGCACAGGCAGATCCATGAGGTAAGGGATCTTTATATATATATCTTTATATATAAGACCTTATATATAAGATCTTAGACCTGTATGCCTGTCTATTTAGTAAACTGAAACAGGTCAGGACCTGCCCAGGTTTTCCCACTGGAGCTCCAAGTCAAGTCAATCTCACTTCTGGCAGTGCCCAGAGGTTTGCTGCAGCAGAACAAGGTAGAGATTTTATCTTCATGAGGGTGGTGGAATCAAAAGGCAATTGTTTGCTGTCTCCTGGGCTAAGCTTCATTACTCACGATGGAGCTCGTGGGCTCTGATTGCTCCATCTTCTGGTATTTTCTGAAATGAGAGGGGGACAAACCTCTTGAGAGATCAAGTTCTTTGGTGCTACATTTCAGAGGCCTCCTGGACACATAGCCAGCAGCCAATGAGGCTGGAGCAGGAGCTATGTTGCTAAATGCAGTGACCCCCCAGGCCATTTCTTCCCCTCCTCTCCCAGTGCCACACAGCAGGGCAGAAAAAGCCTCACCTACGTCTCCAGACCCAAAGCACCACGATGGCAGCCACAGTCACACCTGCCGAAAGAGCAGCCACAAGCCCCGAGATCAGCACAGCCTTCGAGTTTCCTGAGAAACACACAGAGCAGGTGACCATGTGCTTTATATCTTCCATACATTACCCGTGCCTGTCTGGTGGTGTAGGATGGTGCATCATCCCCATCCCTAGAACCTACCCCAGGGGATAAGGAGACTGCGAGTACCCAAGCTGCGGTGGCGTATACGGCAGGTGTAGCTATGCCCATCGCCAGGGCTCACGGCCAGCACGATGCGGAGCTGGTAGGTGAGGTCAGAGTTGGGCAAGATGGCACCAGTGGTGAGCGCTGGGCCTGGCAGCACCTCCTGGCCATCCCGCAGCCAGGCCACACTGATGGGCCGCGGGTAGAAGCCAGTGACATGGCAAACCAACAGGAGCTGGGCTGGACTAGGTGCACGAGCGAAGACGGTGGCCGCGGGTGGCTCTGGGTAAGGGTAAAAGCAAGGGTTAGGGAGAACCCCAGCAGGGATATCACTTGGTCCCTGTGATGGGGGGCTTTGGGGTGGGCTGTGTCTGAGTCAGGGCGGTCTCACCTTGTCTTGCCAGAGCTGCCTTCCCATACCGCAGTAACAACTCCATGTCATCGACACAGGTATCGTTGAAGAGGACTTGTACCAGCTCACTGAAGGCGGTGTAATTCTGGAGAGTGGCCTGGACATACCGTGACAGATCGGTGTCTTCATAGAGGATCCACTTGCCATGGTCCACATCATAGCTGAGGAAGTCCTGGCCATTGTAGCCCACATAGGCAAAGGCACGGGAGGTCCTGTTGGAGTATAGCTCACAGCCTGCCATGCACTGGACCACAAAAGGGTCTGGAAAGGAAGAGAGGAGAGAGATACGGTGTGAGGGGATGGGGGTGTGGACAGTGTCTCACGCACAGCACTGGGTCTTTTCCCACCTCCTGGACTCCAGTTCAGAGTGGAGATGCTGAGAACACCAGATACTCACAGGGCACATCCCTCGCACTAGCACCATCATTGATCAGGTGGCTGAACTTCTGCAGGTAGATTTTTATCATGTTCTCAATGGTGTCCCAGTCACTGCGGGGCAGGGCTGGGCGCACCCAGGGCTGATAGAAGTGGATATTCCAGGTGCGCTTGTCCAGAGCCCCAAGCTCTATGTCTTCCAGCAGGCCAAATCCCTCTGTGTCCACAAAGGAGGTGTTTTGGAAAGTGGAAATCTGGAGCAGCCGGACAGTGAAGGACCCTATGGGAGACCCTATGAGTCAGCAAGGGGAGAGGGGGACACAGGGAGAGGCCTCGGGAAAGCAAAGGGATAGAGGGATGGATCCTCAAGGTCATAGAAACCTGTGCTCCCCTGCCTCCCCCCCCCCCCCCCAGCACACTGTGGCCTTGGCAGCCCCATCTCCCACCCTCTACAACCCTTAGAGGTGGATGCATTCCAGTCAGGGAGGAGGTGTGTAACCAGAGGACAAGCAGGGCTGCAGTGGCAAACACATGGAATGGGCAGGGAAAAAGGAGAAGCTTACCTATGAGGTCCACAGAAGGATAAAAGGGGTGAGGAAGGACTCCCACTTACCTTCTGGATCTGCCCATGTGCCATGCAGGAGGAGGAGGAGGAGGAGGAAGAGAGGGTGCTGCATGGTGAAAGTGGTGAGACCCTAAGTTTGCAGTTACTGCAGGAGGAGGAAAGGAGTGAAGCAGCCAGGGTCGCAAACTTCTCGCCAAGGCAGCTCTACCCAGGAAGCTCCCGCTGTGCCATTATGTGCCTAGCACCCAATAGGACAAGCACTGAGGTTTCGGGGAGGGCCCCAAGGTTCCTTCCAAGGCGGGGCTGGGCTCTGGCACCCTGGCCCTGGGGGGAATGTGGATGTAAGGCTGTCCCACTTGCTGTACATAGGGTTCCCTATGGACATGGTGACACCCCAATACCTAGAAGGTGCAGGTGGCTAGCTCCTCTATACCACTGCTGGTGAGGGTTGGGGTCCAGCCTTGCTGTGGGCCATGTTCACTGTCAGTGATGGGAACATCTCTAGCTGCCATTTGCCTCTGGAGCTATCGACCCTGCATGGCACAGAAATCTCTATCCCACCTGCGCTGCCACCCCTGAAAACGAACTGTGCAGGTTTGCCACGACATGACCATCTTTCCCATGGGGGACACAAACTCCATTTCAACAGCCCAGCATCGTGCCTTGGCTCTCCATTCTCTCAAGATGGGCACTGGCCCCATGCCTGTTTGTCACTGTCCCTGGATCCTGGAGACTGAGACCCGGTGCAGAGGTACCCCATGAGGGGTGTGGAGGGGACAATGGTCCCCACTTGCTGTCCTGACACCATTCCCCCTGCCACCTGGCATTGGCTGAGCTCTGTCAGCTTGTGATTGGGCTGCAACCTGGTGCTCCCCTTCTCTTCCCACCTTCTTCGGTGTCACCCACTGCCTCCCCTCTCCAAGTGCCTCCAGGCCATAGAAATGGGAGTTGCAGGAGCCACAGCCCTCATTCCATCTCCCCGTTGTCACGTAGAATTTTTGCTTAGATCTAGTCTGAACCCTCTACTAGCAGGGCTTTGTGCCATTCCTGCATGGAACACCTACCTCTCAGATTCCCCTCTTCACAAAATTGTAGAACACCTCTTTAGCCTTTCCTTCTCCAGACTAGACAAAGTGTCCCCAGCCTCTCCCCATAAGACCTACCTTTCATCCCTTTTACCATCTTTCTTTCCCTCCTCTGGATGCTTTCTAGGATCTTAATATTCCTTTGATATTGTGGAGACCAGAACGGCACACAATACTCACTGTGAGGCCACGCCAACTCTAAGAGTGGGAGAATCACCTCTTTTGCCTGGCTGGCTATGCTGTGCTTAATGTGTCCTAAAATGCAGTTTACCCTCCTGGATGCCATTGTAATCAGCATCCAGCTGTGGCTCAGCAGGGTGGCCTGGCCCTAGGGAGGATGGTAGTAGGATGGGTAGGGCAGCACTGGAGCAAACTGGAAGAGGGTCCCCAACTCAGATCAGGCACCAGTGCTAAAATCACCCACTGGGTACGCATAGAACAGGGAAAGCACACCCGCCCTCATCACCATGTCCCCTAGCCACTGCTCCTCTCTGGCTGTCCCCTGGCACATCCCTCCACCCACAGTTTCTTTTCCCCTTCCCTGGGGGTGCCCACATTGGTGCAGAAGGCAGAACTGAAATCTCAGCTGAGGGGAAGTCTGAGGCAGGACACCCTGATAACCTTCAAACACAACGCAGACCAGCGTGCCTCCTCTGCCTTTAGTGGGGTGCTCGTTACCCCCCCAAAGAACAACCAGGACCATGGTTCCCCACTCCATGTCTGCATCTGGCAGGGTCACAGGGAAGGCCCATACAGGGCTGCTGCAGGCTGAGCCCATGCACCCAACTCAGACACAGTCAGACACAGGGAGATGAGGGCAACAAACTCCTTCCCTTCCCTGGAGCTGCCCCGTGGAGAAGTGGGGAGGCTGTGATTGCCTGGTTGGCCCAGAAACTGCACTCATGATCCCACTTCCCCTGTGGCTCATCTCAGCATCACTCAGGGGATGTCCAGCCACACTCACAGAATATTTCCATCTCTCCTGGCAGGGCCACTGGCACTGTGATCAGAGGACAAAGTTTGGCTCCTGGTATAGGAAAGGGTAGCCTTAGGGAAGCCAGCAAAGGAAGGGTCACAGATGGACATTCATCCATGTGGTCCTATCAGGTGGCTGTTGGGCCTTAAACTCCCCTCAGATGTCTGTCAGTCACTTCTGGCTGAGTAGCTGATACAGCAGCACCAGGTCCATTGCTTGTGGACGTTACTTTGAGTTCAGTAGTTGCAGGGTGTCTGATAGGCCAGTTTCAGGTATCTGGCTTTGCAGATGCTCATGATTTTTTCAATTCCCTCTGAATTTTCCTCAAATGTATCTTACTAGTGTATTGAACCAGAAGTTCTGTGTTCTCTCCTTATCAACCCTCGCTTTACTTGTCGTCATGTTTTCATTGCTTCTTTGTATTGACTTAGGACTTGTGATACCATAAAAGCCTGTCAGACTAAGACTAAATTTGGAGTCTTAGAAAGCAGGCATTCTTTAATCATTGTGCCAGACACACAGGGGATTGCTGTACATAGTGTGCATGCCAAATTGTTCAAGCTATGGGGGTTATATGCAAGCAGAAGATACATTTTCATTAGATTTCCAAGAAACAATTAATATATTCATACCATTTACCAAAACTCATTAAAATATGTAAATGTCTGTGACACATGCTCATTTGTTTCTACTGGTGGTCTTTTGGGGTCTTCTGGAGGCCGTCTTCCTCACTGTGGTTGAACCCAGTTCTTGTGTATGCTCAGGCCAACTTGTTCTTTCCTATCTTGTTGTTTCAACTTAGGCGTGTTTTCTAATCTAAGTCATTTACATGTACACATCCAAGGAAATATGCATACCATGAGTTCCTCACCCAATGTTCTGACACATCCTCCAGGCCTGGATCATCTACCCCTCACTTTGAGATAGAAGTCTGTATGTTCTTAAAAATAAAGCTGACTAATTAGTGATTAAGGTAGCATCAGGAATACGAAGTTTCTAAACTTCCTTCTGTCTAACTAAACATAGTAAAGGTTTGACCTATCTGCTCGTAAAACGTTTCAGATTTGACTCCATTGCTCTATCAGGGAGAAAACCACGTGTCCTTTTGGCTCAGTATCAACTATAACAGAGGTCACAACTGCTTCCTCCTTTCTATTTTCACATTGTTTTGCTTAGAAAATGAATTCTTCTGTGATGTGACTTCTATATCCAAAATCTCGAAAATCTGACCTTGTGTTAGATCAAGAGATGTGTTCAGCAAAGGAATAAAAAATCTCACTGCTTGGTTATCAGACTGGGGAAGGACTATACATATTCCCTGGTCAGCATGGATGTAAATTCTCACAAATCCCTTGATTAGTTCTTCTGCAAAGATTGGAGAATTATTGTGTCTTCTACCTCTCTTCTCCCCTTAACTGATAGTGGGCAGGAAAAAGAGGATTGTCCAATATAGAAATGACACGTGCATCCTAAAACTACTAGCAAACCAACAAACAAATGCTAAACAAAGGCTAACCATCAGCATGTGTCCTGATAACACAGACACGCTTGACAGGTGGAGATTGGTTTCTTTCCTCTTCTCCCTGCAAGAAAAAGAAGAGGAAAACTTGGTCCTTTCTCAAGGTTGGACCTGATGATCTTTAAGGTCTTTTCCAAACTTAATGGTTCTATGATTCTATGATTCTAACTTCTGCCTAAGCTTAAACATGGAGAACACTCCAGGTCAAAAGTACACCCTAGCTAGGGCTCCCATGAAATACTGGTAGCCCTCAACCTCCTTTTACAACCTTTACACAAATTTGTTATCCATAGGTTCATGCCCAGTGCGCCTCACCAATATACACACGGAATCAGAATCTACACAAAGGTCTTTTAATTAAATATTTAATTACATAACGCTGCAGGTACTTGGCAATCTTTCACAAAGCAAGCACACCTCTGACTTGACTCACCATTATTTATACAAAGCAAATTTGTGAAACTACCTCTCTGGCGACTTTTGATTGGCTGTCTTGGCTCACCCAACTTATCTCTACTGAGTTTGTGCATTACAGATGACCAGTGGGGAGGGGACAGGGACATAATAAATCCCATATTTGTATACACTAGCATTTTGGTGGGTACGATTTTTAATATGTTAATGACCCTTGATGAGCAACAGGTTATCATAGGTCAGTCTGATTTTTTTCCTTCTTGTTGTTTAGCTTTCATCCTTTCATAGTGGTTTTACCTTGCTAGGCAGTTGAACTCCACGACAACCACACTATTACTCGCCCTCCTCAGAAGAAGAGGGGAAAAAGAAAAGGAAAAAAACAACTCACTCATTGAAATAAAGATAATTTAATTAAAGGAAAAATAATTAATGGAAAATTATTATTAATTAAATAACTTAACTAAAGGGAAAAGGAAAAGGGAAAAAAAAAAGTCACGTGGAAGCACAGAGAGAGAGGAAAGAAACTACTCTCTACTTCCCACCACCGAGTGATGCTTGACCATGTTGGGGGATGACACACTATTCTGCACTGTTGAAACATGCTTTCTCTTTCCAAAACCAGAAATGACTACAGTTTATGCTGACATTTAGAATTAAAAAAAAAAAAAAAGTATCCTATCCAGTGGATACAGCCTTCATTGGCATCCCATTTAACATAATGAAGAGATACCTGTGTGTCTGATAGGTGAAAGGGTGTGAGATGTTGTGCTGAGATTTTTGGAAAACCTGTGCCACCTTCTTTACAAAAAATTCTTAAACTTCAGAGAGAAAAGAGAATTCTGTAGTATTAAATACTGTGACAGGCTAGTTGAGCCAGTCTGCTTGCATTTCACTCTGCACCCAACTAGCAAGGGGGTGGTGCTTGGGTTCAAGAACACAAGTTATGTAAAGGTTATGTTTTAAATGCTTTTAAAACATAGCATTTTTTTAAAACAACATTTGGACACATGCTAAATAAGGCCTTTACCAAGATATTTTGGCTACTTGTGCTACAGCCTGTATGGAATAACTTGATCTTTCTACTACCACTTACATGGGTAGGTCTTCAAAGCAGCAGCTTTCTGTAGAGCATATTAGTGCCTTTGACTAATGTTTCAAATCTAAAAGGTATTATGATTACATATTATGGATATAGATAAAATATATTTGAATATCCCAGGCAAAACTGGGATATAACTTTTGTTTTGTCTCATGTCTTAGTTTGTTCTTCTGGAAGTAATATCTGCTGTGTAGTGCCAGTACAAGAATTTCAGTAATTTGCTTTTTCCTTTGTGTACTCTGAACTGTTATACTTGGTATTGTTTGCAGTGCCCTGTTACCATGACTTCTAGCTCAAACTCAGTCTTTTAAGAGGCTCAGACTTGTCTTAGTAAATTCTTTCATTTTCTAAGTAGCCTTTCAGAAAGATGCAGGTATTCAACTGCAAACTCTGTATTAACAAGGTTTGTTTGTCTTGCAAAGTCATTGTTCAACGGGACAATGGAGGAGAAGTCCAAAGAACTCTTTTTTACAACCCTAGGCTGGCACCACTGCAATTTAGGTCTGCTGAGAGAAGAGAATGGGGAGAAACAAGCCATGGAAAGGCTGCTGTAAGAAAATTATAGAAAAAGGAATGTGCGTATCTTAAGTAACAATTCCTGAAGCCTTCCTGTTCCACCAGCTTTCAGTGGGACTTGATCTGTGGGCAACACAAAGAAGTGATTTGCATTAAGAAAAGGTTTTTACAGTATATTTTGATTGTTTTCTTGCCTGTTGTTTTATATGTTGAAACAGAGAACCAGAGAGGTGACTCTCTGAAATTAACTTTGGAGAGGTGACTTCAATTAAACGCTGCTCTGTATCTTCCTCACCACAATTTGTTGTTGCAGTGGTTGTTTTTTTACAGCTCTGCTAATCACAACCACCTGATGGCACTGTTTCAGCAACTTCTATACAATGAGTCTCTGTCCCTGTCATGGAGGGATATCCTTGTATCTGTGGTCTGTCAGGTA